CCATAAAAGAATGCAAATCAAAACAACATTGAGATACCACCTCACTCCAGTTAGAATGGCAAAAATCAAGAACTCTAACAACAACAGATGCTGGAGGGGATGTGGACAGAAGGGAACCTTACTTCATTGTTGGTGGGAATGTAAACTTGTTCAACCACTTTGGAAAGCAGTATGGAGGTTCCTCAAAAGACTCCACATAGAGCTCCCCTATGACCCAGCAATCCCACTTTTGGGCATTTACCCAAATGATTACAAACAAAACCATACTAAAGCTACCAGCACAACTATGTTTACTGCAGTATTATTTACCATAGCTAAGATATGGAACCAACCCAGATGCCCCTCAGTAGATGAATGGATCAAGAAAATGTGGTATATATACACAATGGAATTCTATGCCTCCATCAGAAAGAATGACATTGCCCCATTTGTTAGGAAATGGAAAAACTTGGAAAAAATTATATTAAGTGAAGTAAGCCAGGCCCAAAGAAACATAGGTCCCATGGTTTCCCTTATTTGCAATATCTAGTATATGTATGAGTCAAGCAGTAAAGGTCAGATAATGTGATGTTAGGAAAATGAACCCTTAGATATGTATTTTAATGTTTTTTTCTTTCATGCATTTGTTTTCTAACACATTTATAAGATTATTTCTTTGTTGCTTTGTATGTCCCTCCCCCACAGTATAACCCCTGCTTTCACTATATTTGATGTCTGTATAACTTGTGGAGGAGATGGGGAAAAACAAGTCGTTTAAGGACACAGGTGGACCTGTTGCAACAATGAGAAGTACAAGTTGTCATGTCGAAAACGAGCTTTACAACATTGGTGCAGGGAGGGGAGGGAGGATTGGGTAGGGGGGTGGGGGGGAGGCTGGGAAGGGATATGAAGGGTAAATAAAGGAGGAGGCTGCAATGTTTGTTAAGAAATGTACGCATTATCCTGCCCATGTAATTGTAACCCCTCTGTACAGTATGTTCACAAAATAAAATAAAATGAAATGAAAAAAAAAGAACAAATAGTTTGACTCCATTTTTCTGATCTAATCCAAACAGACCAAACAGCTTTTCTGAGGTTACCCCATATCAGAATGAATTCAAATCAGAATAACCCAACAATCATCCCACAGATGGCAAGTACAGAGACAGAAATAACAATAACTACAGTTGCAAGCTTGGCGGGAAAAAAAAACAGATTTATTTCAACTGAAGTACTCAATACAAATTAAATCATTTCATCTCTGCTTCTAGTTTCCACCTCAAATTTATCATTCTCCAATTTATCCCTCACACTGCTGACTGGAGGATCTTGCTGACCTATAGCTGTAAAGCATCTGTCCACTCTGAAAAATTCTTTAAAGGCTCCCTATATCCTTCAATTCAAAAATAAAACCTAGGCCCCTGATGGTGACACTGCAAGTACTCCATAATCTGGCCTCTGCCTGTATTTGCTCTATGCACACTCAGATATGTGCATTTCCCTAGGGGTACCATGCACTCACCTGTTTCCATGTGCTTTTCAGTTCACCATGACACTTGGGACTGACTCTAATAAAAATTCTATCATGACATAGATATATAGATATGTATATATATAATAACTATTTACTCATTTGTTGATTCCACTGCTTAACTCAGTTCTTGATTCACAGTAAATATTCAATAAACCCAAAGAAATTTAAGGAAATTTAACAAGTACTTTATTCAGAAGAAGTTTAAAATATCAAAACACTCCATCAATGCCTATAAAAACCAGGTGTTTCCATGCATTTATGTGGTCATGGAAAGAGAATTCTAGAAGTCTAATAGAAAGTTATGATGAGCTGCTTTGGCACCTTGACCAGGAGCCGTGCCACTCACTGGAGGGTGCTTGGAAATTTCTGCTATGTTGCCATGTTCACTTGAAAGGTTAACAGCTGTGCCTCGCTTTCTGCACTAGGCAAACAAACTGTACAGCAGAGGGCTGTAAATAGAACCATTGCCTGTGTATTTGGCACTGCTTCACAGTCTACCTAGGAACTTCCTGACAAGGCCGTCCTTGTGATTTGTAGAACATGACCAAACCACAATCATCTCAGCTGGAGAAGTGAGCTAACAGTCCAAATGGTTTTGGGGAGTGAACAGAAGTTTCTGCCTATCTTTGTATTAATTCCTCATATCCATGTACTCTGTGTGTCATCTATGAAAAAATCATACATATAAACAAGATAAAATGAAGAGGACTCAATGATGGAATAATGTTTCATTTTATTTCAGTAAAGAAACAATAAATAATTTTCTTTTATTGTTAAGTAATTGTACAAGGAGGTTACAATTCCTAAAGTCAGGTTATGAGTACATTCAATGTTGATCAGGGTTGCCTTTCCATTATTTTACCCCATTATTCCCACTCCCATTCATACCTATAAATACTTTGATTTATTGATCAAACAGATTTTAAAATCATAACTAAACTGATTCACTGTGTCCAGCCCCAATACAAAATATGCTATTTGCCAAAGGTTCAAATTCAATTACTTGTAGTTCAATTTAACAAATATACAGTACCAAAATTGTTTTTAAAGTTTTAGGAAGGATTTATTTTAAACAGCATTAAAGTGTGAAGAAATAGAAGAGAACATGTCCTTTCCTTTGCAGGAAATAGGAATTAAAGACTACAGTATCAAACATTTTTAAGGTAAAATATAAAGAAACAAAAAGGTTTCATTCTATGATCTAAGGAGAAGAGTACAGATACATAATAGCAAAACCCAAGAACGACTCTCATTACTGCTAGGTGTAGTGTTTTGGAAAAAAATCAGTGCTATAATAAGAAAGATAAAAATGCATAAAAGTGACCTTTAAAGTTTTTAAAGGAATGAGATATACTCCACATGAAACTAGGATCAATGCTTAGAATTTTCAATAACCAGAAGTTAGTGGGACATTTACAAGACTCTCAAATGCTTGTAAATTAAAATTCATATATTCATATTATTTTATGCATAATAAATCACTGACAACTTATTAATTAAAGGAATATCTGACTAAAACCGTGCACTGGAAAGAAGTTCATGAGAAAACCTCCAATGGTCTGTCTACCCCCGAGCCCCACAGGACCTAGACGTAAGGGAGACTATAGTCTAAGGAAGGTAACCTGGGTTGAATACTATCCAAAAGGAAAGAGCCATGCTGGGTAGAGATAAAGTGACCCAAATCCCTCTCTCCAGAAGAATTTTATGTTTTAGGGAGACAGCAAAAGCAGAGGAGAAAGGGAGTACAGGGAATCAAGTGAAAAAGAAAACTGAGCCCCAATTATAGCAAAGCATCTACATACAAAGCAACTAATATAAAATACTGACTAGACTTCCTGCCTTCCTGCTAGTTCCACAGAACCTGAATGAAGGTCCAGTTCTAGTGTTTTAGACTCCTCTGTTCACCTACCAAGCCGTTTTCCTACTTTCCTGTGTGAAGTTATTCATCACCAGAGGGAAACTTGAGACAACATTGAATTTCACCTAAAATCTGAATTCGGGAAAAACAATTACAATCAAAAACTTACACGTAACCATCTGTGTTCTGGGAAATGAACCAATATCTCTGCAAAGAACCATTCCTCTTCATGACTTACATAAAACCAGTGGATGACCCTTTGTACCATGTGATAATGCCAGGCACAGACCCACATTCCCATTTTGTTTTCTCGTATGTAATCATGAGAACTGTTTGTCTCCATTTTCTGTTGTAATGTGTCAATCCTGTTAAATAGATTTGACCAAACTTCAATTGGTCTTCTCTGCTTCCTCCAAACCCCTGAACTCTGGCCCACCTTTGAGACATGAAGGTAAACAACTTCTCTATGATGAATCCTCCCAGGAATCAGCTATCCAAGGTAGAAATATATCCTGATTACCTGTCTAATCATGTCATCCCCTCATTCCATTCCCATGTCTTTCTTTCCTTATTTATAGAGAAAAACCATCTCCTGCTTGAGCTTCTATATGCTTATAGATCTCACTGTAAGCATCTCCCTGTTGTAATATTCCTCCCATCATGTCAATTGTCTTCTTTTCTTTATTTTAATATGTTTTTGATAAAAGATGTCATTACCTAAGTCTAAATTTGTTTTTATTTACACTTTCAACATGCAAAGGAGCCTAATTTTAAAACACAAAATAAAACCATGAAATATCCTCATCATAGTATTTATTTTTTTATAAAATCACAACTATTATATCTTGTTCATATGTAGCCACAAACTAAAGTACAAGAGATATAGAATTCTATAAAGAATACACTATATTTTCACCATTATATAAATAGAAGAAAATTGACTATACTTTAAACAATTAAAATATTCCTGCTTGCCAGATGCCAGTGGCTCATGCCTGCAATTCTAGCTACTTAGGAGGCTGAGATCTGAGGATCTCAGTTCAAAGCCAATCCAGGAAAGTCCATGAGACACTTATCTCCAATTAACTACCAGAAAAGCATCAAGTGGAACTGTGGCTCAAGTGGTACACCACTGGCTTTGAGCAAAGAATGTCAGGGCCCAGGCTCTGAATTCAAGCCTGAGGACCAGAACCAAACAATCAGAGATTTAGAAATCATAGAAATAATTTCTTTGTATTTAACTTTTGACTGCTATAATTCAATCATCTCTTTACAATCCTTTCAAAACAGGGGAGACACTTGAAAAAGTTCTATTTATTTTGACCAATTAATAACACAAGTATGAAACTAACAACCTAACTAACTGCTAAACTTTCTTCCAAAAAACTTTCTCAAATAATATGTCATTTCTGCAGAAATCTAGTACCACAGGCTCACCTTAACACCATTCACTCTAGTTGTAGCACACAGGTAAAATAAATCCATACTTTTAATCAGGAAGGAAAATGCATAAGATATTTTCATATCAGGAAGAATATCTTTATAAATTACTTATATTTATGTTTATAAAAGCATTTGAAATAACAATATTCAAATAGCAAACTATATCAGAGAGGATGAACAACTTACCTGCATTGACTATAGCATCTATCTCTAGCAATGTGATGTCACCTCTGTAGAGAGAAACTTTCTCACTCAAACTTTTCTTCACTAGTGATGCTTCCTGAGTATTTTCCTCTGTAATAAAAGGGAGATACATATTAATATCCTTAATAGCCAACTTTTTTTAAGGACCGAGAGCTGGACTCAAAGTTGGTTCCTGAGCTTTTGCTTATTGGTTAGTGTTCTACCAACTGAACCATGCCTCCAACCTCAATAGACAACTTTTTTTTTGGGGGGGTCCGGTCATGGCGCCTGAACTCTGGGCCTGGGCGCTGTCCCTCAGCTCTTCAGCTCAAGGCTAGCGCTCTACCACTTGAGCTACAGCGCCACTTCCGGCTTTTTTCTTTTTGCTTATGTGGTGCTGAGGAATCAAACCCAGGGCCTCAAGCATGCAAGGCAAGCGCTCTACCACTGAGCCACCTTCCCAGCCCTCAATAGACAACTTTTTAATAAAGTCAACTTAAGAACCAATATGAGGTGATGATTACCTTATTCATGTAACTCTAACCCCTCTGTACAGTATCTTTACAATAAAAAATATATACTAAAAATAATAATATTGCAAAACAAAAGATACTCAACATAATAAAATACTTGGGCAATTTTGAGTTTCCAAAAAAAAGAACAAATGTGAGGCATACTCTTTTGAAAAGAACAGGTAGGTTCATTCCTGTAATCCTACCTACTCAAGAGGCTGAGGCCCAAGGATGGTCCCTTGAAGCCTGGGCAGGGAAGTCCAAAACACTTTCATCTCCAGAAACTACCAAAAAGTCTGAAGTGAAGCTGTGGCTCAAGTCATAGAATACTAGCCTTGATCAAAAAAGCATATGGATAGCTCCCAGTCCTGAAATTAAGCCCCCGTATCAATCAGTACAAAAAAAAAATGAAAGTAGAAGATAGTGTATAAGTACCAGAGATACAGTTTACTTTTTATTTTATATTTTTAAATTCAAATTCACTATTGTATACATAAGGACATTCAATAGATCTGAACAAGTTATATAGCAAAAACTCAATATTTCTGACATTGTCCAAAAGAAAAAGAAAAGAAAAGAAATGTATTCATTATCTGACTAAAATGGTAACTCCTCTGGCACAACACTTTAAACAATAAAATTACATCTTTAAAGTCAACATTTATTATTGATTTTATTACAGAAATACCCATTTAAGATAAAAACATACAACACTCCATTCACAAGGATATAAGAAAAAGATGTGCAAGCATACAGACAAAAAATAGATTTTTACAGTGAAAGCAATTATGTCTATTTTTACCAGCTACTTAAAAAACACCTTTCAAAGAATACTTATTTATACATATTAAAGTCTGCTTTTTGCTACTTCCAAATAAAAAGCTGTCCCTAAAGATGGGATGTTTCTGGGATGATTGGATTTGTGAAATTACTCCTTTCTTACTAAATTGGATTTAACCTTTCACTCTAGAGGGCGCTGCTAACCACAAAGAAAGAAAAGAAAAAGAAATGGCTCTACCCAACACACACAGTCAGCAAATTGTATTTCCAAGAAGTCATTGTGTTCCGTAACATGGTTTTGTTTATTCTTTTTGTTTTGTTTTGTTTATTCTTTAATAAAACTTTGAGTAATAAGTAAATAAAACTCAAAACATCATATTTTAAAATGTAAATATTTTAGATGAATATATTTGGATTGTATTATTGTTTAACAAACAGCAACCCTAACAAACTATTAAATCGCCTAAACTATTAAAGATGTATTATGTATTATTATGAATATAGTTCTAGTAAAGCTGGTTAATAAACTCAAATTTCTTAAAACATTTCTGATCTGTTCAAGTCTTTCATGGTGGAACATAAGGCTACTCAATTACTAAGACGCTGTTAGGTAAGCATGCAATTTCAATGCAATTTGAATGATTAGAAGTATGAGTTATTTAATGCTAAATTGTCTTTGGGCTCCAATAGCCATAGAGGTGGAGGAAACTGGCAAAAAAACACCTAAGGAAGTCATCTGTGGCCACTAAAACTATCCTTTTTTCTATAAAATATGCTCTTCTTAGCAATCACTTTAGTCACCTGTGGCAATACAATAGTATTGTAAAGTCAAGAGAGTTTAAGATATAAAATATCTATAATTAAGTAGATCATTTCAGAGACTCCTAGAGTACTATTTTCCTCTGGCAGGTAATGGTTAAATTAAAGCAGACTTCACTACCAAACTGAATGTTCATTTCTTAGTTCTGCCAATCAGCAGCTGTGAGATTTTGAAAAACTAATTTAGTTTTTTCATGCTTCACCCTGTGAAATTTCTACACTCTACACAGTTAACCTGAGTTCATTACATTAAATGTTTCTCTCAATATAAATTATTGACAAACACCACTTTTTTCTACAAAGTAGCAAATATTATTTCTGCATCTGCATTGTTCATGCATGGACTACACTTATTCAAAATGTTATTTTAATAAAGCACTACTGTTTATTATCATCATTACCAATCACCTAACGAGATAGTATTTTGTAGATGCTCATCCCACATTGTCACTGTGTTCACCAATGACAAAGACTCAACACAAGACCTTGACTTCCCTCATTTTATGATGATAAAGTTTTAAAATCTTGATTTCCAGGTAATGATTGCTAGATTATAATAAGTGATAACTTTTCCAGACAATTCATTGTAAACCTAGAAATTATAAAAGACCCCTCACTGAGCATGAGTTTCAAAGCTTCTAAATATTCTTGTTTTGTTGTTTTATGGTGCTGCTGGAGTTTGACCTCAGGACCTGGCATAGCTACCAGTTAAGCCATGTAACCCAGCCCTTTTCATTTTAGTTACTTTTCAGGAAGGATCTTGAGTCTTTTGCCCTGGCTAGCGTGATCCAAAGTCTTTCTACTTACACATCAAATAAATAGTTGGGAGGAGAGGCAAACATGAATCACTATGCCCAGCTTTTTGGTTGAGAAGTAGTCTCCCTAACATTTTTGCCCAGGCTGGCTTGGATTTATATTCCTTCTGATCTCTGCCTCCTGAATATTTGAGATCACAGGATTGAGTTTCTGCCCCTGGCAACCTTAGTAATTTTACAGTATCAGAATATATCTGATTCAATGCATCATTCACAAATATGACATTCTAGCAAAAAAATGGATTATAAACTGATTTTTCCAATTATGCCCTAGTACAAGGAGAACTAATTCTTATTGAACTTATAATTATATTGCTATGAAAATAAGTATACTCAATAAGAGGTTCTAAGACCTGGGATATCAGGTATAGAGAGAAGACAAAAATATTTTATTAATTTTGTTTGCTGCTTATTTTCTTAGAGTTGTTTACTTGTTGGCTTGTTTTTTGAGACAGGGTACTTCAGGCTGGCCTCAGCTCTCTGTATCCTAGGCTGGCCTGGAACTCATTATCCTCCTGCCTCCATGAACCACCATACTCAGTTCATTTCCTTTTACAGAAACACAAAAGCATAATATACTAAATTACCATGGTTTATAGCAAACTTGAGAAAAGAAAAAAAAGTTGCTTTACATAAAATGCTAAAGAACCAGCAATATTCAAAAATAATCATTAAAGAATTATTATCACGTGTGTGTGTGTGTGTGTGTGTGTGTGTGTGTGTGTGTGTGTGAGTGTGTGTGTTCCTGGGGCTTGAATTCAGGGGCCTGGGCACTGTTCCTGAGGATTTTTTGCTCAAGACCAGCACTCTAACACCTGAGCCACAGTTCCACGTCTGGCTCTTTGAAACCTAATTGAAGATAAGAGATCCACAGACTTTCCTACTTAGGCTGGCTTCAAACCATAATCCTCAGATCTCAGCCTCTTAAATAGTTAAGATTACAGGTGTGAGCCACTAGCACCTGGCTGTTATTACTCTATTGTTCATTCAGTCCTTTGTAATTGATTCTTCTGCATAATCTTGGATAGCATTTTCATGGATCCATCAGCTCTCTACTATTCCTGCAATCCACAATTACTCCAGTTCATTTATATTTACTTCTCACTGAATTGTAAATTCATTTCAGACTTCTTTGCTGTCTGGTATGCTCCTGTCAATTTTCAGTTCAAATAAACTTAAATAGTTCCTAAGTGTTCATTTTATATTTGTATGAATCATAACCTCATCTGCATAAAAGCATTTCCCTCTTACTGATATTTTTGTTTAGTTCTAGATTTTATTGAACTGCTTGTATAGAATTTATTCAACATGGCTGAGTGCCCCTTTCCAGATTGGACTGGGGGTCTTTGTAAGAGGAAGAAATGTGACTCACAGAGATATTTGGCAGCAAGTGTACCCAAATAGAGAAAGAGTGAGTTTGGCTACAGTTAGAAGGGAGCATTTGTAAGACAAGGAGAAAAGCCTCTGGAGAAACTAAACCTTCCATCACCTTGATCTTGGATGTCCAGCCTCCAGAAATGAGAAATAGTTATATATTTAAGCCAAAGAAAGAATTTACTCTACATATCATTCTAAAGCTTAGAAATATTAAATGCTATGATTCTGATAAAAAATACATGTAGTCAATGCTCTTACTAGTGTACTAAAGTATACAGAAATGAAGCAGTTTGATCAAGCATACACAACTGGCAAGTACAAAATGGATTTGAACCCAGGCCATGTTCTCACGCAGTATGCATAAATAAGTTCCCATGCACCTATTTAACAATACTAATAATTGGTTTTTAGAGTTATTATTACACTTTGGTGGAAAAAAGTACAAAGGGCTCCATGGTTTCTACTATTATTTGACAAATTTTTATATCATACAACACAATAGGGACTAGAAAATCACACAATAAAAACAAATTTCTTTCCCAGCTCTCTTAGCTCTCTTTCCCAGCTCTCTCTCTTTCCCAGCTCTCTCTCTTTCCCAGCTCTTTTTCAGGTCTTTCCCAGGCCTTTTCCAGCCGCAAGGAGGGCCAACATGGCCTGATGCCAGCCAGAACGACGAATAAACCTACCCCTTACCTGAATACCATGTGCGTGGTGCTGTTCTTACTCAGCAACCTCTTTAAAAACCTAACATAAATGGTGCCGTGACTTGGATAAAAGGCTTAAAGTCAGGATAGGTGGGATTCTTCTC